AATTGTTTACATTTCTATTTTCTTTTCCAACTTTTTTCATTTAACAAGCACACGTATATTGAGAATGTGAACTCTTTGTTTAACATGCAAATATATTTCCTTTCATATTCCTTTCATTTGTACTTTATATTTACATTTTAATTGCACATGTATAATTTTCAATTGAAAATTTTCAAATTAATTTTTATTTCAAATAGTATAATTATGTAAATGAAAGAAAAAAAATCACTTGCTTGTTCTTTAGCATTACTATCATTATCAAATATGTACATAAAAGGTCATATTAGTCAATGTTTTAAATCATAGAAAGAAATATAATTATTATAAGATAGCCATGCAATCACCAACCTCAATATCAAACAACTATTTTACTTCCTTAATCCCTAAACTTCTCCACCTAGATACTTATAATCATAAATATACATAAAATAAAATTTTATTAATTTGATTTGTTAAAAAAATTAAACTTCAAAATTACTTGCTCTATTCCTCTCCAATTTGCATAAACACTATACCTTACTTTACAAATTTCATATAGTCCAAAGTTTTGACATAATTGCTTCCTGATTAGCACATCAATTTGGAGCTTATTCATGTTGAAAGATTTTTAATTAAAATTTTGATGTAATAAATTAAAATAAAATTACATTAATATATTATTAGTTGTTTAATAAATGTTTATGAAATTGTTACCTAGGCCTTCACTTAAATTTTGTGTCAGCTCAAACATCTAGGACTTATAGCATCTGTTTCAAAATTGATATCGAAGACATTGAATGCATTGTCGAATGGTGTTAAAGACAATGTCAGAAATGTCTAACATCATCAAAAACATGGTCAGAGGTGAACCATGCACTTCTTCACTTCTCTCATTCACACTCTCTTCTCTTTTTTGTTTCTGCTCTCTCCTTATGTGATACATGCAGCTACAAGATATGATAAAACCCCATTTTCGCACCTCTATGCATTTTAAATTATAATTAGAGAGTTTCAAATATAGTAGAAAAAGATTGAAAGATTATAAATAGAACTTTTCTAGAACCAGCATTGAGCCCTATAACGCTATGACACTTCCCTATTTTTTGTGGGAGGAAGTGTGCTGGAGAGAGTGTTATGGTGCTAAGCTCCCTATTTGGAGAGAGAAAAATGGGAAGTTTGGTAGTGCGATGATGTTGAGCAATGTCAAGAAATATATGGGAAGATCTATATGTTGCAACATGACCTCCCGAGTTTATAATTTTGATGATAATAAATATTATTGATTACCTTTTTATTTTTCGTAGTATTTGTAGTGCATATTTGTTTGTATGTTAACTAATATTTTAGGTACAACATGCACCATTATTTGAAGATTCAAAGCTCAAGATGAGGTAGAATAAGTTATGCTAAAAAAGTTTATAATTTTTATTTATTTATTTCAAATTTCTTGGGTCAAGTCTTATAAGGGTGTATGCTATCCTGATGATAATGCACACACACACAATGGGAGAAAAAATAATTTTAAGTATTTTAATTTTTTTATACATCATATTGTACGATATTAATCGTACTATATGATCTAGTGTTATAGAAATTAATTAAAATATTTTATTTTTATTCATATAATACGAATACAACATTATATTGGATGATATGTTATAATTAGAAACTCCATCACTCATTAAAATAGGCAAAATTTTAAATTTAAAATATTGTTCTATTCATACTATACAAAACTAATCGTACTGCACAATGTTTAAAATATTGTATAATTTAATCATGTGATTAATCAATCAAATCTGCTTAATTGTGATATTTTAATTATACTGTATAAACTGGATTATACTGTACTAACTGGATTGTACTGTACAATCAATAAAGACGATATTTAGTTATCCCATCATTCATCCTAGACAAACAACATTTTGGTTGAATTAATCGTTCTATATGAATGATCATTCGTACTGGTGATCATACAGCACTAACAGGCAAAATTAAATTGATTATACTATGTGACTAATCATTCATACTAATGATTATACAACACCAATAAGTAAAATTCTGCACATCGTACTTGATAACCTTGCGATCATATTGTTTGATCTTTAACAACTTAATTAATTTTTTTTTAAGATTTTTTAAGCCATCTATTTAAGCTTTCTCATAAGACTTTATAAGGATCTTTTTAGCAATTATTGAGTTGATTTCTTCTGAAGAAAGCTTGAAGAGAGAGCCTTAAGTTAGAGAGAGAAAGGGTAAGGTTTGTGAGAAAGGGAGAAGATCCTTGTGGATTTCAAGGGAGTGTGAGAGAGAGTTTCACATAGTTTTACCAGTGAACTTGCACCTGAGTTCCTCTATGTATCAAGATTTGTCGTAAGGGAAGTTTTGGGAAAAAGATCTATTTGATGTCAAAGGACCTGACTACTCCATTGTACTAGGAAAGGTGAAAGGGATTCGAGGTTCTCTACCTAAGAAAGGATTCCAGTTCTTTGCCATCTCCAGTAGGGAGAAAAAGGATCAAAGGTTCTCTGCATGTGAAAGGTTTATGGTCCTCTCTCGCACCGGGTTGGTGGAAGAGATTTTGTTAGGACTTCTCCGTCTAGCTGTGGGGGCTAAAGGAGAGATACTATAATAATAGTGCAATACCCGGCGAGGAGGACTCCAAGGAGTATATGTAGGTCATTGTTTGACCAAATTACTATAAATTTGGTGTGCTCATTCTAATTTTTACTTTCTACACTATATTTTTAAGTATTTTATTTTTTATTATAACTGTTTGGTTGAAAATTTGTAATTGATATTATGTTATATTGATTTGACTATCATCACTATCTTTGTAACTTTTGATAAGTGTACTAACTTCCACATCAAGTGATAGTATTGCTTTCATCTTAGTGTGCCTTTGGGACAGTTCATTGAGGCTTATAATCTCCTTGAACTTTCACTATAATATTCTATTGTAGCACTACATGTTCAACCGTTGTGGTGTGGCCTATAAACTATATTTTTAATATCTAAATTTATTTCCATCACCCTCAACCCTTAGACTTAACAAAGAAGAAAGAAGAGCATAATAGGAGAAGAAATGGAATGAGAAAGAAGAGTTGAATTCATCTATCGGACCTTTTAAGAAATGTGTTTTACTCGAGCTAGGATTCCAATACCCTATTTCTAATTTCAATTATGATATTTTTTTTTTTAAGTTGTAGGGTAAAATACATTTTTAATGAGTATAACAAACTTTCCACTACATAATTTATAGTATATTAAAGAATGTTCTAATTTGGTCTTTTTAGCTGTTAAAAGTCAAATTTTCATCGGAGTAGTAAACATTCCTGCATGAATAATTGAATATAATTTTTTTTATTCTATTATGGTTCAATTTACTTTTAAAACTATGTTTCAATGTCCCTTCTGAATAATTTTTTGAAAAGTGTATGTTAATTATGGATGTGATTTGGACATGTGTCAATTCCTAAAAATGTTGTACATGTGTCAGTGTATCAATGCTCATATTAATTTTCAATACTTTGTATACATGTTAATTCTAGTCTTTTCTTCATGTGCATATCATGTCCACTCGAAGAAAGTTTTGAGAATGTGAGTCATGTCCAGTCGAAGAAAGTTTTGAGAATGGGAGATATGTAAGTACAACATAAATTCTGTTGTATGGGCTTGGATCTCTATTATGTTATGTTTGTGGCCCCATTTGTTATGAACAAATGTTGGAGGGTGGTATTCTTTTTTGCCCCATTTGCTGAGTGCAAATATGGGAGGTTATTTCTATTTGTGGCCTCATTTATTGTATACACGTGTGGGAAGTTCAAGGGAGGCATAGGTGGAAGTGGTAAGCATATATCGGGACTTGTACATTTTATATTGCATGCACTGTATAAACAAGTAATGTATACTATATTTTATATTTAAAACCTCTATTTTGATAATGATAAACAAGTTCAAGTAACATCTGCATTTACGTAAAAAGTTTATGTTTCTAACCTTGTTATTAGTTTTGAATTTGTAAATGCCCATCCTTCTAATATAGTATATATAATGTTAATGCCCTCAAATGTTTAAATTAATTTAAATTATAATTATAACTGTTATATGAGCATTATATTATTTTTTATTTAAATATTACAATTATTTATTTGATTTTTTGAAATAGGATTTGGGAATATATGAAATGCTTATTCCTTTGTTTTATGAATATTTTTAAGAAAAGAAAAATGTCTAGTTGAGCAAAGGTCAATCAAGATAGGACCGTTAGAGTTCTTTTCAATTGAGGTATTTTATTGTTCGGTGGTTATATTTTGATGTATAGAACCAAATTTCACATAATTATTTGTATGTGATTCATTTTGGGAGTAAAATTTTATATTATTTTATTTTACATTGTAATTCTGTGCAACAATGCTCCTATTTAGAAATTATATTTATTTCAAATAAATTTATTTTAAGAAATTTGAGTTATTATATTTTCTTTGTTTGTACAAAAGTCATACTTCCTCATAAAACAATCCTCAATTACCATTTTTTTTAATCATAAAAATTTACATCTTAAATTAAAAGAGATATGACTATGAAGTTGAAACCCATCTCTCTTATTATAACCTTGAAGCTTGCTTTGTTGATAATTCTCCTTTTGTTAAGATATGATGCCGGTCCTTTTATTAAATTGTAAAAGTGTATAGGTAAATATTTTTTTTTTCCTGAAGGTATAAAGATAGACTTGCATTATCATATTTTTATTTAGTATTAAAAAATTGTTTCATATATTTATATAATTTAAAAATTAGTAAATTTCTTTTCATAGTAATATTCCATATACAAATTTTATATTACGTAAATGTCAAAAAGATCCATAATTTTTTAGTTTATTAGATGATGTTCATACTTTTATTTCCATTTATCATTCCTTTTTAAAATGAATCACATAATTATGCGGGGCTCTCGCACGAACGAGTGCACGCAGCCACGCACGCACGGCAAAGAGCACATAAAAACGATTCAAAACCCCCGAAGTGTCTCCTTTCTGCCTGTAATTCTTCGGACAGCCCTACCCTACGCTCCTGCACTGATCTCCGTCGGCTTCCCTCTCTGCGCGAAGATGAGCGCCGTTTCTAGGGTTTCAATCCCCAGCAGCGTGCGGAAGACGATCCAAAACATTAAGGAGATCGCAGGCAACCACAGTGATGAAGAAATATACTCAATGCTCAAGGAGTGCTCCATGGATCCCAATGAAACCGCTCAGAAGCTACTCTTTCAAGGTCGCAGCAACCTCTTCTCTCGAGGGTTCTCTCTGGATACTTTTCTTCTGTATCAAAGTATTCTGCTTTTGTCGGCGCTTCGTCCTTTTAATCTCGCTAGGAATTGTTGGCTTGTTTGCTATGTTTTGGATATGGGTTTTTGTTGTGTCAACGAGATTTCTTGATTTGATTGCAAAGTTAGTTTTTTGTAACAAGCTTTGGATCTACGTTTTTTTAATTCTCCCTACTGGACTTTATTTCTTCCTGTTTTTCGTGGAACATGTGGATCTGGGGTTTAAATACGCGCTCGCAATTATTGGGCTATGTTTTTACTACCCTGTTTTTAAATTTTGTTAACGAATAAGATATTTTGGATTTCTTGCTCTGCTTTATTAAAGTTAAGCCTATGAGATTTGTCCATGGCTCTTGTTGATGCTATTTTTGTGCTCCACTTTACTGCAATCATTATTTCTGGTTAGCCTCAATGTTTTGTGGATGAATCTGACGATTCCACCCATTGTGTTAGTAAAGATTATGTGGCTTTGCGGGTTTTCATCGGTTGGAATATGCTAACCGGTTGAGGAAGTCGGGTTGTGGACTGGTCGGAAACAAATAAAAAGTCAATTATCTCACCACATGATAACCTAATTTTCATTTACTTGAATAGTTCTAGTTTATGTTAATGATGATAAATTGAACTTGAATTTTGATATGTAATTGTTTTATCTCATGATGCATAATCCTCTTTGATTGAGGCTTTTTCATTATTATAGGACTTTCGTCATGAATATTTATGCTGTGTTCATTACTGACACCATTTATTTGTCTATTTTTTGTTTTTATGAGTTGAGTTTGATAATTACTTTCAACATTTTTTTCTTTTGATTCAGTTATCCTAAAACTAGAAGCACCTTTGCTTATTTTTATTCAAATTTTTTAATTGTTTTTTAATGTGCAAATTGTGTATGACAAAACACATTGTAAGTTGGGTGGCTATTGCAGGTAAATATTTTGGAAGAATGAACATAGTTATTCTATTAACTTAGTTATTGATTTTGATGATGAGAGCTACTTTTTGATATTTCAGATACCTTTCATGAGGTCAGGAGAAAGTGTGATAAGCGAAAAGAGGTAACACTTACCCCTCATTATTGTCTTCCATTCAATTCTATACATGCTTGTTAGGTTCTTCCTTACTGATTGACATGCTAAGGTTCCATTACTTATTATTATCCACCACTTCTTCCATTTTCCTACTTTTTTGTATCTTGGAATTCAATTGCAATAGTAAAACATTTGGCATGACATTTTGCGTAAGCATCATCCTTTGCACTGTTATTTTTTTCCCATAAATACTAAGTATTTGGGATTAAATTATGTTTTTCCTTATGCCCATGCTCTAACCTGCAAGCTTATCTGACTCTTTATTCCTTCACTTGAAATTCCTGAAAAAGTTCTCGTTGGATTCTCATACACATGTATTATTAGATGTTATTGGTTGGTTACTTAGAATATATCCTTTATTTTGTTAGATTTAGTTTTTATTAGCACTTATCTTTCTTAGAGTAGGATGATTGGGAAGTTGATATTTACTATATATATGAATTTCACATTTCAAGTTGAGGGCTATGCAAGAAGTTACACCTTCATTTATTTTTCTTGTTCTGACTTTTGATCCTTCCATGGATTTTGGATTGCAAAGAGAGATATGAATGTTCATCTGAGTTAGCATGGTTTAGAAGCAATGAATGTGAATTTAAATTCTGCTTCTTCATTCCTTTGTTTGTTTTTCCAATTTCAATTATTTATAAATTTAATTCATGTTATAACTTTCCCCTTTGTTCTATTCAAAGAAACATTTTCCTGTGCCAGCTAATCTCCTGAATTGTCAACTAGTGTTGCCCCAAAACGAGTAATATTATGTGATGCATCAACTCATAATTTTCTTTTTGTAATTGTAGGACCATTTTAAATCATTTGAACCTCTATTAAAGCCTGGAAATCAGTGAAGATTTATGGATTCTAAATTTTTATAACTAAAACTGAAAAGAAGAGGAAGTTGATATGAAGAATAAGTATTAATTTTACTCATATGTTTCATGAAGTATTTACTAATAGACATTGGGTTATCTGATTATCATTCCACATAGCTGGGATTAGGCTAATGATGATGATGTTGATGACACTAGGGGTGTACATGAGTTGAGTCGATTATCTGCCTAATCGAGCAAGCTTGTTTAGCTGTTACTAAGCTCGGCTCGAGCTCGTTTACTAAGCTCGAGCCCGACTCGTTAAAAAAATTCATAGGCTTGAGCTCGACTCGATTACTCGAGCTCGTTTAGAAAGCTCGAGCTCGACTCGATTGTTAAGCTCGGTTTTTTAATTTTAAATAAAAAAATCATTTTTTTGAATTTTTATATTTTAATATAGTATTAATTTAAAATTATTGAATATATATTATATAATGCTAATTTAAATTAATTATTAAATACATTTTAATTTAATCGAGTGGCTCAACGGGCTTTCGAGCCAAACCAAGCTTATGCTGGAGCTTGAGCTCGAGCTCGAGCTTGTTTAATATACGAGCTCGAATATAAGCTCGAGCATAAACTTGTTGCTTGATAAGCTAGACTCATGAGCTCATTAACTAGCCGGCTCGGCTCACTTATGCCCCTAGATGACACTCTATATAAAGCTAAACTCTTTTGTTCACATTGATTTCATAAGTTAATTATATTGAATGGATCATATCTTTATCAGATAGAGTAATTGTTTTTGGTCACCATACGCAAAGTTAGCTAATGCCTTACTAAACATAATTATTGACATTATGAATATAATTTTGAAAAATTAATCAATTTATTTTTATTAAAGAGGATTAACTAAATAAAAATTATACATTACATACTTTCCTTCAGGCTTTGTTTTTTAGCAGGCCTATTCATAATGTCCAGGAAATTATTGAAGACCCCCTCTAGGCATGGAGGATATAAACTTAAGTTCGATTTTTCATCCTGTATTGTGCTCTTATTCTTTTGGATATTTTTATGGATGAATAAGCCCCATGAAAATCTTGAAAAGTGGCTGTGGCTGGTGCGTGCTTGCTATTTTGATAACTATATAGTGTCAAATGTAGTTTAATTGAGTTGGCCCACAATTCACAGGTGATGTAAGTGTTGTCATCATATATGCTCAAGGTAGAACTAGCTATTAACTCCTAAAATCACGGATCTGATCCCACTGAATCAGCCCAACCTTCTCGTGGACCCAACCCTCTTGAACTTACAATCTCCTTTTATTTGATCACTTCCTAGAAGTTCAATACCACTTTCCCCAAAGAGTTTATATGATGTTTGCACACAAGAAAGTTATTGAAATTGACCTAAATTTCAATCCTCTAAAACATTGTGACCTCCCATGGGTGTTCTAATATCAGGATAACCTATTACCATATTGTGAAAACCTGAAGGACATGCATGTAATTTACCTATTAGCAAGTTTTATCTACAAAAATGTGACCTTGTTATTCAAACTGGTGGAGAAAAGAGGTTAGCTATTTTGCTATATGATAGGAAAGAAAGTGATGCGAATCGCCGCCGACCGGCAGAGGAAGAGCCGGTGACCCATCGACATCCAGAAGAGAAGGCAGCACGCGACATCGGCCGGGAAGGAGACCGCGCGGGCCGATCCGCCGAAGGCGACGCGGGCGCGGGGCTTGACGCGAAGCGGAGCGGGGTCGGCTTGAGCGGAACCGGTCCATTTATGGACTGGTTTGGCTCGAGTCAGGCCTGAGCTGAGCGGTTCAGCTTGGGCAGCCCACTAGTGGGTTTGGTTTGGTCTTTTGCTTGCTATAAGTGGGGATTAAGGGGGGATTTATAGGGTTATGCAAGAATTGAGTTTTCTCTTAGCCACCTTAGTTCCTTTCTCTAAGTTTTTTAGGGTTTGTAGTGGGAGACCTTGTCCTTCTCGAAGTGGACAAATTGTGTCTTGTTTCTTTTGGATTTATAATGCAAAAGGTTCTTGTTCTTCCTCTCATCCCTCTTGTGTTTATTTTTCTTGGATTTGGTGGAGAAATCTTTTCTTTGAAGGAGCATTAGGGCAAACCCAAACTTGGGAACCCTAGGGCGTATCAGAAAGTTGCCAGCTTTCATTGGCTTTGTCACCCTTTAATACTTGAGCTTATTCATAAGTATTTTCCACCTTGAAGTGCTTTGAAATCATCTGCAAGATTGTTTAAACTGTTGCAGCTGCGATATGTTGTTTTGTCACCATTCAGAAGATTTGGTTTAAGTCATGGATTGATCACGAACCAAAGTCTTAATCAGTCTTTTCTGAATTTCTTCCTTCAAATGGATGACCAATGACTGCAACAGTGACTGTTAGAGGGCATCTTCACGTGTCTTATGCCATATGAATCAACCTTTTGTTTGTTAATTGTGCTCTATTTAGAGATAGGCACTTCAAGTGCTATCCTTAACCTTCTGCCTTTTTGTAGCCTGCTTTTCTTTTTTGATTAGTGTTTGAGAATTGGTGATTTTGTTCCTTGTCACTCGTTCTTGAAAATTATTCTGCAAAGATGCAGCAGACTAAGAGGAGACTGTGGCTTTGTTTGGGATGGCTTTCTTTCTGCTTCTTAAAGTAGCTTTCTAGTACAAAATTTTTTATTTTTGTACTAAAAAACTGCTTTAAGAAGCTGAAAGAAATCCGTCCCAAACGAAGCTTGAGTGTGGGTTTTCCAATAATACACTTGTCACTTGCCATTTTTGGATGATAGAATTGTTATACGGAACCTTAGATAGAATTGTTACGCTGCTTATGCCAGATTTTGTGTTATGTTATCATTGGAAATATTTTGGCTGATTGCTTGGTTAAAATTGTGCCTTGCTACTCCATGCATATATGCATACACACTCTTTGCCACCCGTGCAAATTGGTTTATGAAAAATATGTTGATTATGCCAATTTTTTTTTTAATACATTCTTTTGATTGTAGGATATTGATGTAATTGTTACATTTAGAAGTTATTGAAGGCATGTTTGCCAAAGTGGCATGAATTATTGACCCAAGCATTATACTGTTATGCAAGAGTTCTTTCCACTTATTACCAAGTTTTTGTTGAGTTTTATAACTACTTGGGTGGCTTGCAAGAGTCATTTTTTGTGTGAAGAATTCTTATCACTGGAATTTCATCTATTATTGAATTGCTTTGTTAATTGCTAATTATGTCTGCTCAGTTGTTACTCATTTTTATGGCTGTGGGTAATAGCTGTGTGGTTGAAACATTCGTGAAAGCAATATTTTTATGTTATATTTATATCATATAAATTTGAACACTTTTGAATTTTTTTAATATTTTCTTATAGTTATCTATAAATTTTGACAAAGTTTAATTCTAAATGAATTTATTTTTTTAAGCCTGATTTTGTATTTACGACGTTCTTAAAGTACCTTATGCTATATATTTGTTATTGTTTCTTATGATCATAGTCATAGGAGATTGCTAATAGTTATTTTTCCACAGAGCAATAAAGAGGTTGCTGATACTAACGGGAGGCCAGGACAACAAGGGCGGGTGGGCAGGACTGTTCGAGGAAGCTACAGTTCACGTTATACTTTTCATGGTATATTTTTTTAAAAAATTATTCCCATTCCATTAATTTTAGTCGTTTGTTTTCTTTAGATATGATTAATTAATTTTTATGCGTGGGTTTTTTCTGTTTTTCTGCTTGTTAAAAATATCATTTGCATCACCCTTGCAGATAACAAATATTGCATTTTCTCTTGTGATCTTACGCAATGATTATTGATATATTTGCTGCGTTTTTTGGGTTAAGTGTAGAAAGATGATTTCCACTGTATTAGTTTATGTACAATGTTTTTTTATTTTTGGAAGGACTTGGTTAATTTAGATTATATATGAGTTTATTTTCAACTTTAGAGAGGAGGGACTACCTTTTTTGGCTATAGAAGGCATGAAGTTCTATGTTCTCGTTATCCCTTAGCAGATTCTGGTGCTGGAAGGAACTTGAATGCTGTAAAGGGGAATGGAATCGCCCAATTCAGGGACAAAGATATTACATCTTTGCACCATCCAGTGAACACAAATTATAAGGCTGTGAGTCCAGAAAGAAGGTCAACTGCATATAAGTCAAGGTATAACTGTTTTTCTGTTTGTTGATGGTTCTGTAATGTTGTTTTTTCAAGTTTAATTATTGTTTTTTTTAACCTTGAACACTAACTTTTACCTGGTTTAACATAAAAACTTGGTAAAAGCTCAATATTTTGAATAAATATAGGATTTTATTTTTGAGAATGGATTGTTTGGGGTTTCAAGTCAGTTTCAAGGTTTTCTGCATTTCTTGTTTTAACCAAAGGAAGACTATTTTTAAGCTTCTCCGTTAAACTATTAGTCTTAACTGTGATAAATATCTCTGCTCCGTCATAGCATGGTCTGCTAGTCATCTCCTTGTATTTTCTGCAAAAAAAGCCCCTTAACTGACATTTGCTATGTATAGTGTGTAGATTTGAGTTTTGGTAAAATTTATTTCTCATTTGTTTAAGATTATCTTAGATGTTTACGGCCTTGCATCCAGTTTATTGACTTAATGATTGTTCAAGCTCGTTTCCTTGCATTATATGCCATTTCCGGGAATGCAGTTTTTTTACTCTTTTGTGAGGCTAGTGTGTACCTTGTTTATTTTGTTTGTTTCAGAAATACTATTTATGCTTGGAATTTTTTTGACCGTTCATTTTGTTCAACTTTATGTTGATAATATTTGTTTATAATTCTCATCATTAGCCGTTGCAGTAGCAATATTCATGCCCTATCGTTTAATTTAGTATATTCTGAATTCTTGCTTTCGTTAAACCTCGCTATTGCTGTAATAATTATACTTCCTAGGTGCTATTCTGAATTATTTTCCTTTCAAAATCAATAATAAGGGTTTACTTGCAAATTATGCATCTTCCTCAACTAAGTCAGCATATCTTGATGTTTTTAAGTAACATTCTGATGTATCACATTACATCTTTTGTGTGATATTGGTAGACGTGACTATTTTAATTTACTCATATACTACTGTGAAATCGTGAGGACATGCATCTTATATGCAAGGTTGTGAAAATTGGACTGAACAAAGAACCGGAAGGAGAGGTTCATGGTTCGATGGTTCGATCGGTATTGAACCGGATGGTGTAATAAATACTAAGTTTATTTAAACATAATAGAATCTATTTATATTAATGCAATCATATAAACAATTTGACTAAAATTGAACAAAATAAATGATCATGAAACATTAAAACACGAAAATTCTAGATAAAATCAAAAGTACTAATTAAACCTCGTCTTTGATTGGCTAGTGAGGATTAGAAAAATTTTCTTGTTGATTGGATGCCTACAGTGTAACAACAAAAACATCAAATGACACACCTTGTTGCTCTAGGTTGACGCACAAGGTGATCCGACCATCCTGTGGCTCCCGGTTCCCGCACAGGATGGCCAAATCAGATAAATATAATAAAAAGTTTAACAAATCATAATATGAAGATTCAAACATATGAATCAATAAATGCAGTATTTTTAAAAGTAAATACATTCATTTTGTAACTAGCTCTCCTCTTTATCTCGAGCATTCATAACTTTTTTTAATGCTTCTCTATCCAGAAGATCAACTTGCATAAAGGAAAAAAATTACCATGAAATTTATATCGAAGCAATAAGAAGCACCTGTCCAAATTATATAAATTAGTGCCAAGATGATAATGGAGGATATTCACAAAAAATAAAATTAGTATAATAAAAAAAATACTCAACACCAAAGCAACACATATGCATTAAAGCAGCTTAACCAAACAAATTTGAAATTGGATGAATCTGTCTAATCCATACAATAATAATATAAATAATAAAAAGATAATTGTATCATCAAAACTAGTTTAATAGTTCAAATAATTTTACAAGAGGTTAATCAAATATTAGGTAAAATTGCTTACTTAGTTTAATAGTTCAAATAATAACCCGACCCGACCCGCGTTGGTTTGATTTTCTTGAGTTCTAGCACGTGAGACATTTTCGGTTCGGGTCGGATTTTCGGGTCGGGTCCAATATTGACAGGTCTACCCCAAACCTTAGTCTTCCAGCTGATGTGAAGTAAGCAAAACATCCCAACAAACAAATTCAATACATCATTATAAAACAAACACAAGAACTCATAAGCCTTATCAAATAATCCTAAGTAACAATGATACAACAACAACAATATCAATCCTTTGTCCCACTACGTGGGGTCGGCTACATGAATCCTTTTTCTCCATTGTATCATGTTAAAAGTCAAGTTTTCTTTGATATCTAATAAAGAAAGATCATTTCTAATATTTTCTAACCAAGTTTTTTTAGGTCTATCTCTACCTTTTTTAACATAAGTCAAATCTAATACCTCTACTTTCCTAACCGGGTCATCGGGGATTGTCGTTTTATGTGACCAAACCATCTAAGGTGACTCTCTTAATATTATCTTCCACTGGAGCTACTCCAACCTTCTCACTTATATGCTCATTTCGTATTCTATCTCTAAGGGTAAAGCCACTCATCCACCTCAGTATCCTCATCTCTGCAATACTTAACTTAGTATTATGCTTTTCTTTTAATGGCCAACATTTGGCACCATAAATCATTGCAGGTCTCACCACCATCTTATAGAATTTTCCCTTAAGTTTGAGGGGGACTTTTCTATCACACAACAAGCCCCATGCATTCATCCATTTCAACCATCAAACTTGAATTCTATTGATAATATCCCCATTTAAATCATTATCGCTCTGAACAATAGATCCAAGATATCTAAAATGTGTACTCTTAACAATGATATTTAAAAAAAACCACTCATTCAAAAATAGCAAGATCACAACGATAGCAAAACCCAAAAATAGCAGGGGAAATAATTCTTGTGCGACCAACAACATAATGATCATCAGATGGAAGGGGGGAGCGTGGAGAAAATAGTTTTTTGTTAAGCAACAGTGCATAACTAAAGTCTTTTGATAAGTATAGGTTTGGTAAAAATTGGGAGATATATGAAGGTTGCTTAGTAAGAGAAAGTAAGTTACAACCTTTGGTAAAATAGATTCATTTAATTGACCATCGTATGCTTCGCTTTGACATGTCGGGGTCCAAGAGGGCAACACCCATAGCAACCCTCACAAATGGAAGCTTGTGAAGCAAAATGCTTAACTTAAACAATGATCAATTGGTAATAATATGCAAAGATAAATAAAATAACATCAATGAATCAAAATATGAAAATAATTTGAAAAAACTTACATTCGATGGCCAATAGAAGAAAGAAGAAGCGCGGATGATGCTCGAGAAGAATGCTATACTTTGTCGTCTTCGAGTTTGCGAATCATGACAACAGGGAAAGCGGGAGATGGGAGACGAATGCGACTTCACAGTGATGCTCGGGAGACGAATGTGACTTGACAACTTCATAGTGATAAATGTAGGTTATTTTCCAGTTTCCTCACTTAAATCCGCCCATTCATTCTACATTTGATGGCTCAAATCTTCCTATTTTGACCGCGTGGTTCTTATGAACCGGCGCCTAGTGGTTTGCTGACAGTATGATGCGAAACTGGTTCTAAGGGTTAATAGAATTGGGTGGCTGGCCGGTTCATGGTTCAACTGGTTGAACCGGCCGGTTTGGTCCGGTTTTTAAATCCTTGCTTATATGTTTGCTGAAATTATGTAAATTTTCCTCATGTTACTTGAACTATTTTCAAGTAGAAAGCATTTTTTTTTCTAAAAATATAATTTCTATGCGAAGTAGAATGTACGATTCTTTCTGAATATATCTTGTTTCTCCTGTCTATATTTTTTGTAAAGATATTAAGCAATATTGTTATGGTAGAGAACTTTGAAAATCTTTTCCCTGCTATTTTTTATCATATCTTAGAATCTTATTAGTTCCTTTTCCTAGATAATTTTCTATCATCATATCATTTTTAGCTAAAGTTAAAATAAGTTTTAATGTATTATTTGCTTATCTATTTATGTGACCATGACTTGAGCTTGCTCTTCATTTTCAGATCGATGGTTGATCTGCCCAATGGACTAAGCAAAGCTGAGCGTTTATCAGCTGATGATACAAGTTGCAGTGACGGCCATTCAGTTGAACGAACAGCTGTTGAAAGCAAGACGAGCAGAATTTCTTTTCAGAAAAAGATCTCGGCACCAAGCACCAATCAGGTTTTATCATCTATTACCATAACATCTTCTGCAGGAGTTAATACCTCAGAATTAGAACCCGTTCTAGCTCCATCTCCCGATGCGAGCATCCCAGCATCAGTGGGTGCTGTCAAACAGGAAGCAAATGCTGACTCAGTTATTTCTCAGAATGGTGGTGGTTCTGTGTTGTCATTTGTAAATGAAAGAGGTTCTTTAGAAAAAAAACATTCTTTTGTCAATGGCAGAGTTTCTGGGAACTCGCTGGAAGTCGAGGGAACGCAAGTTCTTGATGCATTTCAGTCCGCACCTTCAAATGCTACTGTGGGTGCCTCTAGTAGTAGGCCATCTAGTAACTATGGCAACCGCTCGCAACATGCAAGTACATCTTTGAAGGGTATTATTCTCTGCTGAATCAACTCATACACATTAGAATTATTAATGTTTATTTTTTGGATAACTTATTGCTATAGGGCCATTATGCTGTTTATTTGTTTACGCCTAGCACATACGAACATATCATCTATATGCTCAACATATCAGGCAGACATCCTCTTCCTCCAATTAAAGCCAGACACACCTGACACCTACAATAGGCTAAGGTTGTAACTTGGTTGAGGTTGTTTGAGCTGGGCTCATGGGCTGCAAGGTATTTAGATGGTAAACTGTGCTCGAGTTTCCAAGTATTCTTATGGAGCTCTAGATAGATCTGGGCCTGACTTGGTTCAGCGGTTTGATAGGCTGGCTAATTTATGTAAAATAAATAAATTTAAGTATATTTTTAAATTTATTCATTTCTTGGGTCAACAAACAAGGTTTGAAACAAAATAAATGAAAACTTAACTTAGATCTTTATTGTCATTGTGATTTTACTTTCTCCATTTTGGTCACAACCCTCTGTTACCATCTCTCCTTGTCACTCTTTTTCCCCATGACCATGATAGTAAATGGCTCTCCCCCTCCACATTAGAAAATATAAATGACGAGGGTCTCAGGGGCTTGAGCTCTATATGTAGGGCTGAGCTTGGCTCAACTTGTTCACTTCAGTACGTATGGGCATATAAATTCACCTTTTTACCATATTCTATCGAGTTCTATAAAATAAACTGTTAGATGGTGCATTTCTGCTGTTTATTTTTTTCACCTTTTTCTGGCATCAAGGAAGAGTATATTGGCTAGAATCACTAACATGCACTTGTTTGTCACATTTCCATTGTTCATAATAATTTATAATAAGGTTAACATTTTTTCTTTGCCTTTGACATGCCTTATGTTCAAAGGTCATGTGCAAGCAACGAGACCCAAATTACCAATATGGTTGGTGGAAGGTGGGGAAATTGGGGGATTATTCATGTTTTAATAAATTAAAAGCTTTGGTTATAGGAGTGAGCATCATAACTCATCCGTTTGATCATTTTGAGACATCAGATGTGAATAGATCTATTGTTTTGCTGAAAATTGCCCTTCCAGGATCAGTAAAGTGAGCTTAAATAATTAAATACTTAATTGTCTAAAACTTAGTGATAAATTAGCTTCTAGCGACTTCAATAAAGCTGAAAAGTGCTTTATTTGCTCAAGTAGTTATCTTAGGAGATTTCACTAAGTATCTACTTTAGGATTTTCTTTTGGTTGCTGAAGGCAGAGATAAGCCAGTCATTTTAAGACTTCAAACATATCTGGCCCTATGGCTAAACCTAAACTCTTCCTATTGTGGTTGGAATTGAATTGTAAACTCAGAAAAATATAATAATAATAATAATAAATTAAAATAGAATCGTAAACTCATAAAACCCTTTCAACTTCCATGATAGGTTGAAGTAGAGAGAAATTACTAATTAATGTAACACACATTTGAGGCGTCCATTTAACATTAAGACTTTTCTTGCTTTGGATTTCAGATATTATTGCCGTCCAAACTCTAGGAGTTTGATTTTTAATTTTTTTGTTGCTAGAGTGCATCTTTTCGATGCCTTTAGATTTTGCTTGTTATATGGAGAGATGCGGTTTACAGAGATTCAATACTCTTTCTTGGAATTGCTATTTCTTGCATACAAGTATTACCTTTTTTATTTCTTATTTTGTGAATCTTAAGCATTTGGTTTGACTGCCGTTATATCTTTAAACAGCTGGTCCTATGATGGAATGGAAACCTAAATCCACAAATGTAAACCCATCACCAAGCTCTCAAGTCCGTAGCATCTCTGGTGTGGACCTCAGCAAAGGGAAAGAAAGCGAGGAGGCTGTTTCTTGCTTTTTGCATGCAGCAGATTCGATGCCTTCTGATATATCTAAAGAAGTACTGAATTTGGAGGACCTGTGTTTGTCAGACGCCCAACATGTTATCATTCCAGATCATTTACAAGTCCCAGAATCTGAAAGAACCGGCTTGAGCTTTGGAAGTTTTGGTTCGAACTTTGGATTGGATATGGGATTAAAAATTGAACCTGAAAAAATTAAATGCCCTGAAGAACCATCTGAGTTATCTGGAGAGGTTGATGAAAATGTTGAACAGCTTCCATCATGGTAAGATGCTTCAAAGTTTTGTTGCTTGCAATCTAATTTTGACATCATTTATTATTCAGTGCTCTCGCTAGTATAAGCCTAACGCTGTTGCATGTGTGCTGCAAATACAGGGACGAGCATTAGCATTTGAGTGTTGCATATATTTGGTAGGGTAAGAGAGTGCACGATGCTTACTTTTATAACTATTGGACATTAAATATTGATATCTTTAAATCCTTAATTAGGTTTTCTTTGAGATTTTGATTACGAATGGGAATATCTTCAGCAATGTTCCTGGTTATTGTGAGTAGCTGTGTATTTCACCCAGAAAGACAGGATATTTGAATTATATCTGAATGGAGCCTTGGCTTAGCTGGGGACTCTGCTGATTCTTCAAATTATCATACAGGAGTGAGATGGGAGTGAATGTATCTCCAAAATTTATCGTGGATATGAACAAAGTTGCTTTTTAAAATTTTAGCCGACATTTGCTTAGCTACTTTGTATTGTTAAACTGTGCTGATTTAAACTCTATTTCCTGAATTAAAAAAAAAGAAAAAAAAATTTCTTATTACCGTATTATTAATTTAATTTTCCGAAATGCCATAAAACCACGGTCTTCGTTTTAGTTTCATCCACTACGTTAGTGCATGTTTTTGTTGACTTATAAGATGTATGACTTTTAAGAAAGAATAGACGCTTCTTTAGTTTTAGACTTGTGGGAATTGAAATACTGCGGGCTTTGCTTTGTTTCTTGTGATTATTAATAATATTTTTATGCTGTTTATTGTTCTTTCTCTCTTCCCCTTCATCCCCATGCCTACCACATTTTTTCTCAGTTGGAGTTATTTATTTTTCTGCTTCTATTGTCATAATATCATGTTAATAGACAGGAAATTCATAATTTTTAAATGTCTCTTTTCATTCCATATCATAAAATGTTGATTGTTTCTCATATTGTTAAATGGTGTTTCAATGAAATGATTAAATTGCATGAATTGTCTAAAATCATTGTGTTTTACAGGAATGCAATATTCATGAGTTATTTTTTAAAAAACTTATTGAAAAAAGAAGGGTATCCAATTAAAAAATTCACTTGTTTTTAACCTAAAAACTGATGAATAAACTAATATAATAACTTGGAGTTGGGCGATTATTACATTGATTGATTAAGAAGCATGCATCTAGTTTGGTTTTTTTATTATTTATTTTTGAGTTTGCATGCAATTCATTTGTCACTAGATCTATAAGAATGAAACTATTTGAAATATTTATAAGTTTTCAACCTATAAAGCCTATAGATCTTCTTGAGCTTTCTATTTAGTTTGTGCGAAATGAATTTGAGCTATAATTTACATGATATATGCATTACTTGCATTAACCTATTAGTAGGAAATTGACTATTAATTATGCCAATTATAAGTTATTGATGACGTGGGTAGGAGTTGTGTGTATTTTAAACCTTGTGATAAGGTAATGTTATATTTGAATCTTGAAAGGTTTACTGTAGAAGTCTTTAAAAAATTAAATGTAATAAAGACGCCCAATTAAAATCATTTAGCATATGAAGCATTGACACTTCAAGAAGCCTTTCGTGTCCATGCTAAAATTTATTAGACATGGACATGCCTTCGACATGGCTCACCATGTGTACAACACATTGGATTTTATATTTGATGTGTTTCATTTTAGAATTACGGTTGAACAAGATTGAGACATACCTAAGCATTATTGACACATCCTGACAAGTTTGAAACATCAAACATGTAATGATGGTGATTGGTTTTTATTCTCAAGAAGCTAGTTTTCTAAATTGTGTTTTTTATGATGGTTAAGGTGCTATTGTTTTGACTACACATTTATATTTTATTTTTCAAAAGAAAACATAGTGTGCATGGTTTTTTATGTCCTATTTTTTATGGTTTTCTTGTGCCCATGTCCGGCTGGTTTGTTTCCATGTTTTGTTGGGTTGTTTCTATGTCTAGTGTTGGGGTTCGTGCTTCAAATCACAGATAAATTATTATAAATTACAAAATCTTGGAACTTCTGACATTAACCATTGCAATGGATTCTTCTCTCCTTGAATCTCCTCGCGTCACATTCAACACTATACCGGATAATTTTATGAATCTTGTTTCTTTGCAATTTTAGGTGATCAAATTTATTCCACTACTAATGTTGAATTTCAGATATATCTTGTGCATTGGTTTGACATACTTTCTTTGTGATGATTCTGGATTGCATTGTAAGAAATACAACATTATGTCTTGATTTCTTGATGAATATCAAGTACTAATTTTTCGTAGCCAAAATTTTCAAGCTGAATTAATTAAATGGTGATATGATAGTTTATATTTGTTGAGAACACAAATCTTATATGATTGAACAAGCAAATTGGTCATTTTTAAAAAAAATCTATTTCTAATTTAAATTTTTTTGTTTCCTAATGTTTTATTTTATCTTAGGTTTTATTTATTTAACATGCTTGTAATGATGTGATCAATGAGAATATGATGTGTTCTCTACTCTTTTGATTCATTAGCTTGGTTCATATTCTGCTTTTGTTCGGTTTAGTCTTTGTATTGTTTTGATTTGCGGCTTAGATGTTCTGGCTATTTGCGGTTGGAGCACTGTTATTCAACTTTTTAATGTTGCAGAGGTGGGTGGCCTTTAGGTATGATACCAGGAAGCGTGGTTTTCAAAACTTGTGCATTGTCATGCTAGTGCTTCATATTTTTATTTCTGTGTATCTTCTGTATGCTTATATACCGGATTATTATGACAGTTGTTTTAACTAGGCTTTAATGCTTCTACTATGAATTTTCTGTTCAAATTGTTTTCATGAAAATTAGAGATTGATAACCTTTACATATTAGGAATGCAATTGATGCTTTTGGTTATCTGACATGTTCAAATTTATGTGCTTGGTTAGATGTTAATTCCTTCAAGTGTGATCACTGTTTTTTCCATAAGTCATTTTCCTGTACTAGGACGACTTTTGACTTTTCATGTTTAGCAATCTCTTGCCTTATTTTTTTTCTATACCAAGCGTGATTGATTTCACATTCTTTTTGTGAGATGATTCTTGATTAGGTTTTTTTAAATGGTTTCAAAATTTTTGTAGAGTTTTTTTTCTATTTAAATGATTATTGAATTATTTTTAACTTAATTTTCTCTTATTTCCTTATTTAGCTCAATTAATAGGAGTGGTTATTTTAATAAACGGTCTTTGAAAGAATTCGAATTCTGATTCATGTGATTTTCAGGCATTAGGAACCTTACAATCTAAGTTGTCTTTCATCAAGTACTTTGCATTATTTTGTTGAGGGTCTTAGATTTGCAAGTGCGGGTGGTTTACTTGAGCCCTGCTTTGTAGGCTTGAGCATTGAATGAGGATGGCGCATATCTGAGTCCAATGACTTGGTTAAACTAAGTTTAGCAATTTATTAACGTAATCGATTGGTGTGCTCTTGTACCTTTTCTTCCTACCTCTCCTTCTATAAGTGCTTCAATTCAACTGCAAACAATGGCTTGAGTTTTTGAAGAGAATTGGTTGCGTGCTAATTAAAAAAAATGCACAAAAGGTTGTCTGATCCTGAGCGCTATGAAAGACTGTATGGTGACATGGTTGTCTCTCTATTGGTATTTTTTTGGTTGACATTTAAGGATTGGCTTTCTTACTACCTTATGGTAATATCCATTGTGGATGGTACCATACTAAAGTGAACATTTTGGCATTGATGTTTTGCGACAATTTGCTGTTTCTATGAATAAATGCTTCTTCTGTTGATGCACGAACATGCCAGTGAATAAAGTTATCTCTCTACCTGTTCCCATCCAATAAAAGAAAATAAGATCCGCAATGAATGAAAATGTTGCATATTTTGAAGTACTTTCTCTTGCTTGCATGATGTTATTTTATCCCACTATATGGGGAGGTTATTTTAGCTGATTTTCATAAATTATTTGCTGTATGCCAGTTCTAGAGATGAATCTCCAGTTGCTGAAGGAAACACTTATTCAGATGACCGACAACTAGAAAGGCCTGAAAATCATGAATCAAGCGCTGTCGACATTCTTTCAATTATATCTCCGGTTGCAGATTTTGATCAATCAAAAGCAGAGGTGCCTATGGTGACAGAACCATCTCAACGCTCCATTATTCATGCTGCACCAGTATACTCAAACTTTGGGTCAGCGCCACAAAAGATTGGCAGCCCTTTTTCGACATTTGATGCTGCAGACATACATGCACGGGACACTGCCCGCCTTCCAGGCTTTGTTGTGAGTCTTGAATCTCTGGTTTTCATATTTCTGTTTCTGAAATTTAGTGTTTTTGTCTTTGATGTTAGTGTGATTCCTGCATTGATTACATAACATATAAATGATACTTCAAATCAGGTATAACCAGCTGTGGAAAACATTGAAAAATAATTTTCTTTCACTTGTTTTGTAACTTAATTTTCAGCTTTTAGTGTTAGCTTTTACATGCCTAATCATTGTTATTTTATTGTAATATTCAGAATTAGTTGATTGTATGGATTTGATTTTGATGAAAAGTTGCTACTAGCAATGTCCATATTTCCTTGTTTAACAGATTATGGTTATTTCTCTCAACATTTGTTGATTTATGTCAACGTTAAAGTTTTTTTTTTTTGGCGTTTGGTAATGTTCTTGTTGAAACTTAGAATATTGTCACTCAAGTTTTTAAAGGTTTCAGCTACTGGTAATGTTATCGTTCTGGCTAAGTATTTTATAATTTGGTTATAACAAGGTTAGTCTTGATAGTATCAAGTCTTTTTATGCTAGATATATTGGAAAACTTTCTTTAGGCACTTCTTTTTGTTTTTCTGCATTCTTCTTCGCTTGCCATGCAATCAGGCTAGCTTTGAAAAATTTGATCTTCTTGTTTATGAATATGATCTGAAAATTCCATTACATGGCTTAGTTTTAGGACATAGTTCAATTTGTTGGTAACTGTCAAGAAAAATCAACATGGATTTCTACAATTTATTGGTAAATAGAAATATTTTCTTGTAAAAGATTCTTTCCTTTTTTTAATTGATAGAGATATATTGTGTTTTTTCCTTCAAACAACTAGTTATTTATGTAGAGGTTTTCCCATTTTTGAGTTTGGGATGTTTTCTTAGTTAACTTAAAAATGTTTTCAAACTCTCTACCTTGGCATTGAAAATTGGATTTTCTTCTTGAGTGTGCTAACCTGTTTATTCCTTGCATTGCACTTGATAAGAAAGTGAAATCTTAATAATAAATTAATAAAAAAACATACAAGAGTTTCTTAATTTTTTAATTCATTTATTATATGAATAAATTGTATGGATTAATAGTATCATTATTGTAACTAAATGGTTAACTATAGCATGCTTAGTTGGGGAAGCCATATTACCCATTAGCTCTAAAAGATTTGTTGTGTTATTGATACGTTTTTTTATGGTGAACTCATGCTAAGAGTACTCATCTATTAACTATCCATGTGAATTTTAATGAGACATCTCATTTCTTTATTGACCATTAATGACAGGTAAAATTCATTATATCAAAATTAACAAATTAAAAAAACTTTAAAATATTGTTACCTAAATTTATTTAATGCCTTTAAACTAATTTCTTTAACATGAAATATCATTTTATTGGTCTTTTTAAGAGCTTTTTAGTAGAATTTAGTTAATATTAGTGTTAACTTAATTGATTTATTTTATTAACGCACCTTATTTTTTGTACTTATGTTATTCCAACAACCCAAGACATTATGTTTATATAAATCAATACATATTTAATCATATCAAAGCAGATGTTTATATATATTTAAACTACTAAATAAATAAAATACAATCCACAAAATATAAAGAAAGATGATTGTTATTTGTAGATTAAGTCTTCATTTGAGATAGCTTTCGGCCATTGTGTTTTGTTGCTTTCAAGAAATTTTTGTATCGGAAAGCTGTTTTAGAAAGCAGTAAGAAAATAATTCCAAACGAAGCCTAAATTTTGAGCTTGAGCGGATGGTGGGGGAATGGATAAATAAAATACAAACGAAGCAGTAAAATAATGTTTTGCATTTTTTTTTCTTTGTATTGGCCTTCAGGCAACTATTAAGATAAGAGTAGGATAATCTAAGTTGCTTTAACAAGCTTAGAGGGTATCTTATGATTTTATTATAATGTTATATCAAGGACTATTACTATCAGCTATCAAATAAAATTTAAACTACATTTATTTCTTGTGGGCTCCGAAAATTCGGCCCCGGCCTCCCCGTTTTTTTTTTTATTCGGCGAGGGAGTTTTAACTGATAAGTTCCGAGGTAAATTTTGGAAGGCAGATGATTTTGTAGATAAGACACTACCCAGAGATTTCGCCCTCATTTTGCGAGGATTTTATGATCTGAGTTCTGGTTTCCTATAGGTGCAAGCCCCTATAGTTAATTACCCCTCCCGATTACGAGAGAGAACTTTCGATTAAGGCTAGTCATTGATCAGATACATAGTAAATACATGTTATCTGGCATATAGTAGCAGCATTGGGTATGGATTTGGAATTTGAGTTGGAAGATTTGATATCTGGGAATTGGAAGGTTTGATATTTAAAATTAGAAATTTCCACCATCTTTCACTTAAAGCGGATGGTGGGGGAATGGATGATAGACCCGATCAAGATCTCATGGTTCCGTCGCGCCGGTTAGAGGACACGTACCACGTCCTTATTGGCAGGAGATTGTTTGATTATGGATCCTAGTGATATTTTCAACTAGGCATTTGGCTCTTTGTGAGTAGAAGTAGATTTTAATTTGTCCACCCCGGCAATCTGTTGCGAAGGGTGGATGGATTTTGCTTTGAGTGATTGATGGATTGATTTCAAATTTTAAATATCTTGACTTTGGGACGGAATTTGGAAATTTTGGATTTTTTGGGTGGACTTGTGGGAAGCATTTTGGAAAATATATGTGAACCCTCCGGTTGAGATTAACATTCAACACGGCCATCATCGGGATGTTTGGGGTCATTTCCATTTGTTTGATTGAACCTTGTCGACTCCTACTTGCTTAGAAGGATATTGTTCATATTTAATAACCCGCACAGCATCCCTAGACGTCACGTGTGTACCAATAACACGCTCGCTGGGTCCCATGCGGGTTCTTAATTGTATACCTCTTTTAGTGTACCTATGTGTATACAAGCTACTGTGCATTTGCAGGGGTACTTTGAAATATTTGTAGTTGTGTAGATAACTATTGTTTGAATGCACATAACTTTTCATTTGAGAGCTTATACACGCATTCTGTCCGCTAGTACGAGTATTGCGGATCCGGTGGTGATGAGTTGTAGATTGTAGACGCCTTCTGTCTGCTTGTGTGAGTGTTGCAGATCCGATGGCGTTTGGTATTGTAGTTTGTGGACGCCTTCTGTCTGCTTTCATAAGTGTTGCAGATCTGGTGGCGTGGCGTTGTAACTTGTAGACGCCTTTTGTCTACTTCTACAAAGGTTGCAGATCCGGTGGCGTGATCTGATGACATGAGGCATCTTCTCATTTTGTTGTTGACTCCCCCTTTCTCATTCACCGGGGAGGGGGGACTTTCTGGAGTCAATGACTGCTGATTTGGAATGAATTCCTTTTAGGCTCTTCGGTGTAGTGGACTTGCTATTTCAGGTGTTTATGGGCACAAGAATTATTTTATTCTCAAGTATAAAACTAAGAAGAAACTTTGGAACACCAAGAAGTTTGATTCTAATTTGTTCAAACATTTCTTCCATTCTGCCAGGGGTGTACTTTTTGTACATCGAGTCGTTCTTGTACCCGAAATACTTGAAGATCTTGACCACCAATGTCGTAGGTGATATCAATACTTATGCCCACAGTGGTTCGTTGTACCTAAGATATGCCCACTGTTGTTATCCACAAGTATCCATTTGCAGGGGATCGTCGTATCCACTACGACCTCCTGAAGGTATTTGTAGAAGACCCATTGACATCAGTACCATATCCACCTTTCACCAATCTCAGGTGGGTTTGATGTCTTATGTCTATACTTGTGCCTACAGTGGTTCGTTGTACCTACGATATATCCACTGTTGTTATCCACAAGCGACTTGTATATATTTGCCGGGACCCGTTGCATCTGCTGCGACCTCCTATAAGTATTCGTAGGAGAGTCCTTTACATAAGTATCATATCCACCTTTCACCAATCTCAGGTGGTTTGGTGATTGTATTTTCTTGTAAGGGCGGTCCTTTGATTGTTGGTCTCCAGTATTGCCATCTCAATCAACAGGCATTTGTAGGGATTCATGCATCAAGGTCTTATAGTTTGAGTTTCCCGAATAACTCAAAAGAGCTAGTATTTATTGTAGCACTTCGGCATTTGTCTTATGGATAGTGGTTTCGGGTGCATGTAGGAGGGGCAACGATGCATTTCATTCTTGCAGGTACGGTGCACCCTGTTTCGTAGAGACTGTTGTGAGAGTCCACTACGTTATTTCTTTATATGGATCAAGTACTTATTAAATCAAACTTTCATTCCGTATAGTTTATGCTCAAGCCCAACTTGATGTCAAATTTGAGTCTCTTACTATTCGAGTATTGTTCAAGTTCCACTTGATGTCATACAGTTCAAGTTCAATGTCCGCCAGTTTGATTTAAATCCTTTGCACTCGAGGTCAACTTGTTTGAATTTAGCTTGAATCCTCATCTTAGTTTAAGTTCAAGTCATATGGCATATGATTCAGTCAAATTTAGACTCAACTCTAAGTTTCACCAGTTTGAGTCCGAGTTCAAGTACGAGTTCCCTGTGGTCCAATTAAGTTTAAAAGTCCACAAGTCCACAGTTCATGTTCATTTGAGTCCCAATGCTTATTCTTTTGAGTTCAAACAGGTCCGAGTGTGATCGTACATTCACCTGAAATTTCGGCAGCCTCCCGGCGTCTCCTCTGTTTAGGGGAAAACTACGGAAAACTGGGTCTTTCCCACCACGCGCAATAAAGGCGTGTATGGGTAGGTGTCCTCGGACGAGGACATCGCGGCCGTGCTCTTTTCTCCCACCACGCGCAATAAAGGCGTGTATGGGGTCTTCGGTACCTGTTTAAAAATGCATAGTTTGCTTTCCCCCCGCTCGGGGGTGCTTATAAGTGACCCTGCCTCGTCGTAGATGCCGCACCGGGGTCCCATCCCATCACGTGCAATAAAGGCGTGTATAGGCGATTTTCCGGTCCGCTGCAAACAACGAAATTGATAATCTTAGTTTAGGGGATTCGCACCTTCGCGGGCTTGATAGTGGAGGCTCATGGACCGAGGCAAGGGGAGCATTTCTTTGCAAAACCCCCCCTTTTTATTAATCTTAATTAATTATAATTAATAATAATTAAATTTAATTAATTATAATTAATTAAAAATAACATAATTAATTATGATTAAATTTACTTAATCATAATTAATTAGAAGTTATTTTTGATTAATTATAATTAAAATAATTAAATTATAATTAACTTAATTAATTAAGATTAATTTCAATTAATCAAAATTAACATAAATATTTTTATTATTTCCTTTTTTTTTACTGGACTTGGCCGAAGAAGCCTACTAAAGGGAGAAAATTACCTGTACAGCAAGAGGGCTCCCTTCCCCACTTCCGATCAAACTGTCGGACCTTCTAAGCCGGCGGGAATGAAGGGAGCAGGAAGAGCAAAGTCGAGCAGCCCGAGGGAGGCCGGAGAACGGACGTGAAAGGTAGGAGGAGCTCTTACTCTCTCTCTATCCCTCTCTCTCTCTCTCTCTCTCTCTATCTCTCTCACGGGAATCGGTCGAAGAAGCGCGTGAAAGGAAGAAAGCTAGCTTCACAGCCGGCGAGCTCCCGTTCGTTGTTTCCGAACCAATGAGGAGGGAAAGTCGTCGATCGAGCAAAGCCAGACAGCACGAAGGAGTGGGAGGAGTGGAGCTTGCGATCTCTACGCCTTATGCGAAGCTACAAAGCCGAACAACAACGGAAGAGATGGGGTGAGAGAGATCGGAGGAGTGGAAGCTTGGCAAGAGCTGGAACCGAACGAGCCGAAGGCCTCATTTCCCTTTGCTATTTAACGACTCGAATGCGTCGTGTAAACGACATGGGAGAAATGACGTCGATCATGGCTTCGACGTGCGACGAACGGCTCGACGTGGGGAGCGACATGACGTGAGTTCGGCGCCGCTGCAGAGGGATGGGTGACGGGATTTGAGCAGGATTTGCGGCAGGATCTCAGTATGGCTTTGACAGGTAATGATTTTGAGCTTTCTTTATTTTTTTTGACTATAGAGCATAGGTCAACATTTCTATGTTTTTAAATATAATTTCTTTTGTTGGACTCTTATGGGAAGCAAAATTTACTCAGAAAATTATAAAAATCTATGAAATATTAATCTTGCATAATTGTTTCAGTGTTGTTTAAGGCAGCCAGGTGAGCGCGAAGATGGACCGAAATTTCCCATCTTACTGATAGGTTAATAAATTGTCTAATTAATATTTGTTAGATACAAATTAAAAAATTGTTAGACTAAATGAGGAATAGCTTTTCTAGATGAATTGTTATTTTTAAGGATGAATCTGAACATTTTGGTCTATTATTTTTAATAAGAAAATATTATTGTGGTTTCCTCATACTGTTAAAAGCACTAGATTGTTAGGTGTAAGAACATGCTATTTTGTAGCCACTTAATTATCTTTCTTCGTGAGTGGTGAGCCCTTAGCTGGTTTTCTTCTTCTTCTTTTTTTGTGTATAGCTTTTTTTCACTATTTAAACCTTGAATTTCAACTCCAATGTGGTTGCATTCACTCCTATAGCTAATACAATCTGAATGTAATACAAAAACTAGGCCAAGGACATATTTTTGAATAAAAAGTTGAACACTAACAAACATCTGGCCTTTTATATATTTAACTGATTGGCAGACATGAACAAGTAACTTCATTTTCTATACTATGTATACATGCATGCTGATCACTTTTTTTGGTAACAAGCAACTAATTTTGCTTATCAAAATTTCAGTTGTGAGGTTTTACTTAGCAATGGTTTAAACTTTTAGTTTTTGAAGTTTTATATGTGAGTTAGAAGTAGAGGCCATGCTCTTCAGCAAAGTTTAGGTGCTTCCATTATGACCTTCGAGGTCATAGTTTCAAATGCAGAGGGGTAAGTCTTCATTAGTGAACCCCTGCCCATATATTGTATTGGCAAGATCCTCATGATTAGATAAGCCCTTTTTTATTGAGTTGAAAGTGCACAACCTGACTGCTAGGAATTCCAGGAATTGAGTCGATTTCAAGGCCTCTAGACTTTCTGCCAACCCAGTGAAAGTATTATGGACATAATAGAGCACTAGTAAAGAAGCATGATTATAATGAGAAAATTATCTTCTTGTGTAAGTGGAAAGCCATTAGTAAAGAACGATTATTATTAGTTGGATTGAAAACTTGTCTTATATATCTGCATGAGAGAAATTCTATCTATTGCTATTATTTTTATAATTCAGATGACACTCTTTTAAAATAATTAGTGTGATATTGTGCATCTAGATTTCAAAAACATTTGATCTGACAGTAGTTTTCAATCTTTTTATATTTATTATGAGTCAATTATATTTCCTGTTAGTTTTTCTTTCTAGTATTAAAATGTTTTTCGTTAATAACTATTTATTGCAGGTCCCACAACCTTTTGATCCTTCTACGAACTATTATGCTTCAATCTATCGGCCCACTGCTGCTAGTGATGGTCGTTTCTCTCCTTTTCTATTAGCGGGTGCTGTTCCTAAATACAACGGAAACATTGCAATCTTACCTTCCCAGACTAGCCAAGCTCCACAAGAGGTCTCTTTATTTTTCATCTACTGACTAGTTTTTTAATTGTCACAACTTCCATGAGAGTTTAATCTACTTTGATAATGTTTTCACTTGATATATCTTGTTTGTGTTTTATATGATTTCATATAAGTTTGAGAGGTCATCAAAAGCCAGTTCTTTTTTTTTGTTTTTTAAATTTGATTTGTCCAGCATGAAGTTTTATGTCATCTTTTAATGTTATCATTACTTGGGATTTGTTATGTAAACGTTTGTCAAGTATTTTCATTGACTTAATTCTTTAGTTCTTTACCATTTAGGATATGGAAATGCTTGTTGTCGAATTATGGTACTTGGTTTCACTGGTGGACCTTCAGTTATTGTGGAATGCTTTTATTGAACACATATCTCACTTTTTTGATTTATTGGATTAGATTTGGTTGGTTCATTCTTTTCCTTTGACTTCATTTGTTGTTTCTGAGTTGTCGATATTTACATATACTTTTTTGTACAGAGTGGTAATTCTATGGTTTTATCTTCAACTGGACCAACTCCTATTGTGGCTCAAACCCCTGGAGTATTGCAGACTTCTGTTGCTGCTGGCCAGCAGCCAGTTCCTGTCTTTCGGCAGCCTGCTGGTGTACATATATCCCATTATCAGCCTAACTACAATCTATATAATCAATACTTTTCTCCATTTTACGCTCCTCCTACAACCATTCACCATTTTTTAGGAAATGCTGCCATATTCCCCCAACAGCTTCCAATTGGAAGCCAATATCCACCTCCGACCGCTACGGCTGGCACCGCACCTGTCAAATATACCGTTTCTCAGTACAAGACTGCAACAAACTCTGGTTCTACTGGTCAAGGGACATATGGTATGAATCCTGCAGGTTACAGTTCGGTTGTTAGTGGCGGAAATTCAACTACTAGTGAAGATCTATCTTCTTCTCAGTTCAAGGAAAACTATGTGTTCATTGCTGGACAACAGGTACCTTCCTTTAGATACATTCATTGTGCTGTTATTTCTCTAACGCAGAGGAGATTTTCTACATACGTTTTTTTCTTGTTGATTATTCTTAAAAATTAGACTGAGAAGATACAACAACAACATCATCAAGCCTTTATCACAAAGGCATTTCTTCAGCTAATCTGTTATTGTTTTTAAACGATTGGCTCCAGCAAGATAGCTTGGTCTATTAAATGACTATTTCTCTAGGATATCTTTACTAATTATTTTTGATGTTTTAAGACTTGATTGCCAGTTCCAAGTCCAGACGTGAAAGACTTACAGTTGATTTTAAATCGACAATCAATCTAAAAACTTTTGATATTGGTGTTTTGAGCTGATTTTGTATTGTTCAGATTAAAATTCTTCTTTGCACTATTAATTCTCAGTTAGCTTTCAACTTGCAGACTGAAGGTTCAACTGTCTGGATTTCTCCTCCTGGCAGAGACATTTCTACTTTACAGCCTGGTTCTTTCTATAACGTCCCTTCCCATGGCCAGCCTGTTGCTTTTGCTCCCACCCAAGCAGGGCATGCAGCAGCATTCACTGGTCTCTATCACCCATCACAATCTCTTGCCGCGGGTTCCGTACATCCCTTATTACATCAGTCTCAGGCCATTAATGGAGCTTCAGAAATTGCCGGTCCTCCTGGTGTCTATCATCAGCCTCAACGCTCATCACAGATTAATTGGGTTAACAATTTTTGAGAGATGCTTAAATCATTTCAATTGGTAGCCAACTGCTCAGAGAAGATCAGTCGGATTATAAATCATGGAAGCTAGCTACCCTTGAACCAATCGTTGGGAGCAGATGCGGCGAAGAAGAATGTATATACAGAGATATCAAAGGATTGGCAGACCAGTTTAGACTCGTCGAAAGGTTAATAAGTTTCACCTTGGACCAATGACTTGATAATTTATATTACTTTATTTTGATGTCATGCGCAGATCCTCTGCAATTGGTTGCTGCTGCCTTCTCTGATTGACTCGCTTGCTTTTTAGGTGATGAGAAATTCTATTGTTCTTACCTGCGTTTTTTCTCTTCACCAAAGCTTTCTACCCCTTGAACCTTTGTTCTGAGGTTGTAAAGACTATCTGTAATGATTTTCAGTGGATTTTCCATTCTTTTCAGTGCCTGTAAAGTAAATTTTGATGTTAGAATATGTTGTATTCGGCATAATAGAAGCAGCAGCATAAGCACATTTCACCATTACTCGTTTGTTTCTGTTCTTTATAATTGTAATTTTGTTATTAAAGCCTAGTCATTTTTGCCTTTATATATGTTTGAACTGCTTCTTCTGTTCTTATTATTTTATTCTGTTTTTTCCAAGTAGCAAATGGCAACTGCCAATACGTTATATTTTATTCAATTAACTTCAAATTGGACTTGAAAAATATTTGATTTTGAGTTTAGGTTGCTTGCTCCACCTCAACTAGATTTGATCTTCATTTGAGCTATGGTTAAGCCATTCATTTTGATTGTGTTCTATCCAATCTAAATTTTTCTTAGTTCGATTTATTTTTTATCTTTCGAATGAATTACATGCACATATATGGTCCTCTCTCTCTTCTATCTTTCTTTGCAAGTGAGAGAGAGAGAGAGAGAGAGAGAGAGAGAGAGAGAGAGAGAGAGAGTTGATCCATTATGCGAATTTTGATGATCAAATGATGTTAAAAATTATGAAAGTTGTGTATTCCATTGATCATGATAATGATTAATAGAAAGATCCTGAAATGTCATGAGGAGAAAAGATGATGACAAATTTAGTACTGTCATTAATCTTAATATTTCTTTTGGATTAAATATCATTATTTTTGTATTAATTTTATCATTAACCAATCATCCAGAAAAGCGTGTCCCGAAAAGCGTTGCCAAACAAATAATTTTTTTTTGGGGGTAAAATTCTAGTTTTATTATGTATTTAAGCATCACGACCATCAATTAGATGCATCAAATAAATTATTCTATTTATAATCATACACTACATTCGTTTTGAATGTTGCAGTGAATAAAAATTTTCATCTTGTGTTTGAATGCCATGAAATTGGTTGGAGGATGTTAATTCTATTCTTAGGAGGTGTTGCCATCCAAATCTAAGGATAATATAGATGTTTGATTTGAAGTAAATCAAATGCAATGTAAAATTTTGGTTTATTTGAAACTCACTATCAAATTCAATTTTTGATGTATTTGGAACTCATCCGATTTTGATGATTTTCAAATATATTATAACATTATTGCATACCTCCGCTGCCACATGCCTCCAACCGCCACCACTATTGGTTGCAATCGTCATTACTAGTTGTCGTTGCCACTTGCCGGCTGCCGCCGTCGATCGTCGCCCAAGCCAATAGCCTCCACTGTGGGCCGCCCCTCCACCGACGATAGCCACCATCATCACCACCACTACAAACACCTCCACAGCTGGCAACCACCGCCAACGTTTGTCGTCATCGCAACCCTCCCACAATCGGCCATCGCCACGTCGGCCGCCAATGGTCATGCTTTATATTGCTTTCATTTTACTTTATGAAAAAAAGAGTAGTTCCCTACATTATTTTAACACCTCCAAAGTAGTTTCATACATGCATTACATTCCTTTTTTCAAGCAACCAAACAACCCCTTAGTTATGAATTAGTGTAAGATCTATTTAATATTACTAAGAAACATTCTTGGAATTGAGATATCCCTTCCCTTGTTTACATACACCCAACATAGTCTAAGGCTTCGATTGAGATAACTTTCTTAGTTTTTTACTCTTTGGATGGCAACTACAATTTTTATTTTGCCACTATTTCTCCTCTACTTTCTAATTTTTTTTTGCTAGGTAACTTGATGTGAAACGTACATGCGACGGAGGAATTACTTTAAGAAATTAAAGGGATCCATTGAAACTTAAAACTAAATTATTACAAGAGAATGGCCATATAAATAGGCCTCACAATGACAAAGAAAAACAAGAGACTAAAATGCCCCTTGGGCTACATTAACGACTAAATGCCCATAAGGGTAAAAACGGAAAAACATCAAAATAAAATACGGTACTACATAAAATGACAAAATACAAGTCATGCTCATGGCCGTCGATCTCCGGCGTCGAAGATGCTGACGATGTCCTCATCATAACTACTTTCTATAATAGCTTTAAAAAAATTATTTTATATAGCAATTTTATAAAGCATTAAAAAATTGTCCCAAATGAAGCCTAAATGAGCACATTAGAAAAGATATTGCATCCATTTTTTTTTAAAAGAAAAGATATTGCATCCAAATCTTAGATGACAAGAAGTAACAATATAGATATGAAAGAGAGGGGAGAAAACTAGTAGGAATGCCCAATTCAAATAAGGATGAATTATCATGATGATAATTGTGCATGAGAGAGATGAATTTGTTTTGATTACCTTTACAATTTTTTTCATTTAGCTAATTCTATGAGGTCTAACTGAAATCTCCCTCCTTTGATTTACATTTTATTTGTACAATGTTTTTTAGAAAGGTCCTTCCTTTTCAAGGAAGAGATATCTCAAGTGATCCTTTGAGAAATCTTATCATGTATATGATATCTCTTCAAAAGATATAAGATTAAAGGTTTCGTTTGGGATGAATTTCTTACTGCTTCTTAAAGTAATTTTTTAGTACACAAATTTTAATTTTTTTATATGAAAAAGCTGCTTTAAAAAGCAGTAAGAAAGCTGTCTCAATCAAAACCTAAGATTATTCTAGTTTAGAGATAAATTTCACACAAAATTTCAATTTTTATAAGTAAGAAAGCAATGATCTCATCCCATTCAATCGCTCTAAAGAAAAATCGGAGTATTTCATATATTTAACAGTATGGTAGCATTATAATTGATAAGAAACAAAGAAAAGCTTCCAACAAATTAGAGAAAGAAAAAACATCTTTTAGGTTTGAAAGATCACATTGTTTGTATCCCCAAATTGTCTTAAACTTAACAAAAAGCAAGCATTGAAGGATCAAAGTAATAAAGGTTTATAATTGTATGGAGAGGGTTTGATGACATATGAGATGGAATGAGAGTGGATGTAAGGAGAGAGAACATTTAGACATAATCATCTACATTAATAAAGACTATTAAAATAATAAATTAAACATAGTCTTAATTTGATACAACTTTTCTTTTGCTTTTTAATACAAAAATTTCTAGTTAATGAAATTTTTGTACTAGAAAACTGTTTTAGAAAAACAATAGGAAAGCTGTCCCAAATGAACACATAATTTAAGAAAGTATTTAGCTTTAATAAATTTTCAAATTAGTAATATTAAAATAAATCATGTAGGTCGTAAATCTCATCACAAATAAACAATATTCTCATAATGTACTATGCGCATTGGCAACACTGGGATGTGCCTGCCAGCACTAAAGGTGTGTCTAGTAATACATATGTATTGCATGCCTTTATTTGAGCACTACAAATGGCTTTGATTGATCATCATGAAGGTGGTATGAGGATATTTGGGTCACCTTCATGATGATCAATGAACTTGTCATTTTACATCTCCATATAGATAAGATTTTATTCTCATTTTTTTAAGTTTAGTGGTTTCTAAGCTACGGTTCACTCATGTGTCACCCTACACATCAATTCATCTGCAAAAAGGGGCAAAACTGGCGAATCAAGCAATGGGAGCATCGACGTCCTCCAATTACCAAACTGATCACATCATTGCAATCAGGACGTCGAGTTCACCTAAGCGGAGACCACCGCAGTTGAGTCGGATAAGATCGATCTAAAGGAACGATCGACGCACAAAATTGACGCACGACATCGCCGAAATGATGTCCGATCGTGAAACAGATTAAGTCGTTGTGTATGGAGCATCGTCAAAACCCAAAAATTATTTTCTCTTTCCCATCTTCACATGTGCAAGCCTCCTCAAATCAAATGGTCCCCTATCCGATTCCCCTATTCAAACCTTCGGCTATTAAATCGCCCTCTTCCAATCCACACACAACCATTTGATCAAGATATAGTCGAATAAGCCCATCAGGCTCTACACCAACATCAAATAAAGCTGTATTTCATCACTTTGCTCTTGATCTTTTTTCTGCCAAAAGCTGCACTCCCTTAACACTACCTACAAAAACTGTTGTCCACTTTTTCTCAAACTCCCTCCACCAATTTAGCATACCAAACTCATCTTATAAAGCCCATTATAAACCCATGGCCCATCTCCAACAAAAACCCACGTTCCTCCTACAAAAAAAAACTCTTTAGGCCCATTTTAAACTACCAAAAAAGAAAGAGGAGAAAGAGCTTTAAAAAATAGGAAAAAAAAAGAAAGAAATTAAAAAAAAAAAAGATTAGAAGAGGGATTCTTCTTGTGTGGATCTGTAATCGTTACGAGTCCACGCAGTTATAAAATTCTTAACTTAAAAAAAATATCCCGCATTCAGCGTTTGCGCGAGCCAGAGGACCCCCTATACGAGCTATCATAACATGATGGGAGGGAGCCCGCTGCGATGCAAACGACGAGGTTGGTAGGCCCTGTACCTACTTTCGTAGTATGGTAGGGACACTTTTAAGTATGTGTACATGCTCTCGTATCATAGCAGGAAAAATATTTGCACATTTTTAAACATGTATCTTGAAGACCCGTACATGCTCTCGTAGTATGGTGGGGTTGAAGAAATACGGTTGCAATGTCACCCGACATCTACCATACACACTCTCGTAGTGTGGAAGGATGGCCCAGACTCCTGTAGTTTCCCCTAAATAGGGGAGACCTAAACAAGGGAGATGCATGAAGACTGCTGAAATTCAAAGTGAAAGCACACAAGACTTGAGCTAATTACAAGAAACTTGAATGAATACAAAAGCCTTGATTTGAACTTGATTAAGCATGAGAAACTTTCACATTTAACGATGACAAGATGAACTCAAATAATTTGAACTTAAACTTGAACAAAATAACAGGGAATTGACACTTGAATGTATAGTAGGGAACTCGAATTGAGCATGAGCTTGACTTGCACAAATTCATAGAACTTGAATCAAGTAATAGGGCCCAAACTTGAATTTGAACATAAAGAATAGTCAATAAGAACTTGATGTGAATGATGACACAATGAAATAAAATGCATCATAAAGAACTTAAGCTTGAATGAAATCAACATAACTAAACTTTGAATTGATGAATAAACAATCAAAATCTAAATGAATCCTGATCATTCAAGTGTACATAAGTGAACAAGCCACTCAATACAGAGCAATGAAATTGAAATGACTTGGAGCATTAAAATTAATAAACA